TACTTTGTGATGCCTCCACCGCAATATCGTTTGTTGCCATCACCACCAAATACTACAACCACTACAACCACAGCGGCTAGAGCGCTTGAAAGCCCCACCGGCATGAACTCTCCAACTTTCTCGGGTGATGTATTAGCTATAACAGGTGAGTGTTTAAAAGTTGGTCCACAGCCTCCTTTTTAGCTCCAATCATAGTAACTTTATCATTTTATTCGTGCTGAAGAGCAGCTTTTGCGGTTCATCCACGATTCCCCCCGCCCCCCTAAAATTTCACACCTTTGTTTTGGTTTTTGATGCCTTCTTTCTAATTGCTGTTTCTCAGCCTATCTGTGTGTCTCAACTATGCGTTTTTCTAATATTTTTTGACTCATTATGCATTGGGTTGTGTCTAATCCTTTTGCTGCTTTTCAAATATATTTAGAATCTGACAATGAGGATAAGAAACTGCTGCAGCAGCTGAAACGAGACCACACAGTGAAGGATCTGACGCAAAAACTGAGCAACATGCCGATGAGTCCGACGCATGAGGAGAAGTTGCAGAATCGCATTGTCGGCGATATGTCGGGTCTCATATCGAAAGCCAAAGAGGGACTTGCCAAAAGCAAAAGCAAAGGCGAAATGTCGCGGTAAGTGAGGGTTAAAATTTTTATTATCGAGGATGTGAAAAGACGAAGAGTTATTCAATTCAAGGAAAGACACATAAGGGGTGCAATATTGCCAACCGATTTATACTTTTACACCAGCGATGGGCAGAGAGAGCTTTTACTCTGCACGCGCCTTTACAAAATTTTGAGAAAGCTTAAAAGAGCTTTAAGCTAACGAATTCAAAGCAATCACTCGTTATTTACTTTCTTTGTTTGAAGCTAGATCTTTCTCCAACAGAGCCTAGTAATTATTTTAGAGGGACTGTTTGAAGTTGTGCGGGGATTTTTATGAGGGGAAATCCGAGATTTTGGATATTCAATTGCTGCCGTGTTATTAAAAGAACATTGAAATGTCATTTTAGGAAAAGTTTGTTTCTTGTCATTCCCAAGCGGAAATTAAATCTTTTAGTATTCTTGAGCTAACCGTTGCCTTGCTGGCAGATTTTTGGTAATAGCGTTACCGGGGCTCAGGTCTTATAAGCTATCACGATTGGCTTTTCCTTTGACTTTACGTTGAATTTACTTGCATTGGCAATTAAGAATCTATAAATCTTAATTAGAATTTGCATAAAGTATGTTCCGACTATCTGCTATCTACTATAGCGGCGAAAGTTGAGTATAAAAATGCTATTTAGTTATGTATGAGCCTGTTTCGATACTTTTCTTGATACTAGTCATGGCATCGAGGGTTATACGGAAAAGCT